TTCGTCATGCGATTCCGAGTAGTCGGTGTCACTCTCCGCGTTTGAAATTTCCGAGCTATCGGGGCTTGGCATTTTCGACACAACACTAGGAGCACTCGAGCTTGCTGTGACTCCATACGTCTTTTCTTAATAGGTGGCATATCATCGCCGTCGCTGTCAGCATCGGTGTCGGAATCGCTCGCGGACGACTCGCGGGTGCCAGCGCTGAATCCGTAAAAATTCTCCTCGTCCGATTCAAGCGCCTTCGCATCAGGGACTAGTCGACTCCACACAGAATCGAGCTGCGTCGTCTACTAGATGTTGTAGCCATAATCAATCACAGTAAAAGTGGAGCCTCATGAGTTACTCGACTATCGCTCAAGCTCGGAATCCTTCCGAAGCCGGCGCGGACACCTAACAAGAGGACAGCTCTTGACTTGAGTCTTGTCAAAACAAAAGTGACGAGTTCTGCGCTTCGCGTAACTAACTTTGAGTCGCGTGACTTTGAAACGTCATAACTTGATTTTGATATCAAACGTCGTACGGTGGTTTCTAGTCTATTCTAGACATAGACTATCCCTGGCTCATTACTGTTGATCAGTGATTTCTGCAATAATTATGATTGTAGATGATGAAGACACGATCGATACTCAGAATCCCTTGGGACTGACGATGGCGGAGGATCACAAATTACCAGCGTCTCTCCTGAAGGCGCAGAAACTATTGCGTGATGCAGTCAAGGATCGTGGTGTGCAGATCAGCGGAGGTTTAGGAACAGATAGGGAAATAGCTTTGAGCCAGCTCTTTGTCAATCTTACTCTGCTGACGAAGGATGAAGTAGAAACACTTTTCAAGAGCGAGTCGTTCTTTTCCTCCGAATCTGGGAGAGCACGCCAGCTAGATGCTATCAGAGCAGCTCAGGATGGAAAGTCCGCAAAGACGCGTGGCATTGAGCTTAGCGATATCTTCTCTGACACAGGTAGCGATAGTGCAAAGGACCAAGCAGGTGCCAGCGCACTAGTTGATGCCGAATGTGGACTGCTGGCACGTGCCGCTGGCAATGTGTCTATTGGAGCGAAAAAGAATAACGTGCTGGCGTTTGGCAGTGCGGGCAGTGGCAAATCTACAATCTTCCTTCTAATGCTGGAATACCTGTGGGCTATAGATTCGCTGTTGAAGGAGAAGATTGATCTTGTCTTGTCTGTTGAGTTACGACGCGCTGAGGTGCGATCTGCAACTAGCCTGTGTGAGTTGCTGGCTGCTCGATTCGACAGGTTGGACATGGAACAAGATGAGCTGGAGGAGATAGCTCGTTACTTCCGCCGTCATCCGTCACGTCTCTGTGTTGTGCTTGACGGCATGGATGAATGCAGCCTGGAGAAATGTAGCCCGTACATGCAAGACATGCTGTTGAGGGAACGCAGTGTTGATATGCATGTAGTGGTCACATCTCGACCATGCGCCGATGCGTACAAGTTAAGCCTATGTGGACAGTACCAACAACAACTGGAGGTTATCGGATTCTCACAAGAGAACGTGAAGACGTACGTGAGAAAAGTGGTGGGCGGAAAAGAAGCGGAGGAGATGCTGGAGAAGCTGCATGCACAGCCGGACATGCTAGCATTGATGGGAACTCCTTTATTTGCTGCTCTGGCATGTGAACTGTACCACAGCGGACGTGGCTTGGCGAAATCCAGCACGGCATTGTACGAGTCGCTACTTCTACGTGTCTTGGAGCGGAATGCAGGAAAGTTGTACAAGTCGTTCGCCGAGGTGGATGCACAGGAGATGAAGTTGCTGTACGAGGTCTCCCGCTTTGCACTTCCAATGTTGTCGGTGCAAAAAGCCGTGTTCAGCGAGTCGGAAGTGAAAAGCGCCGGTCTAAGTGATGCCGCTCTTCAGCTTGGACTCCTGATTGCTTACAAAGACGGCAGCTCGACTGAGAACCGACAGTACCGCTTTGCTCACCTGTCCCTACAGGAGTTCATGTCGGCATGGTATCTGTCACGCGAAGTGCTGAAGGACGAGCATGACGCGGCATGGCTGGTGAAGAGAGTCGGTCATTACATTGGTCACATGACAATGTTCTGGCGCTTCATCATTACACTGTTACCGCGCAAGCCCTCGTTCGTCGTCATGGAGCATCTCTGGCGGCTAATCTGTGAGAAGCGTACATCGTCGACATCGGACACTGCCGACTCTCGTCTTGTGGCGGACATTGTCAGCTACTCCCATCGGAAGTCTGCACGTCCGAGTCTTGAAAGGATGCAGTCCATGCTTTGCGCAACGCTAACGTATGAGAAAATGAAAGAACTGGCCTACAAGCTGCTGGAGGAGTCGTGCGGTGAGGGCAACGGCTGCCAACGTGTCGAGAGCGCTTTGCCACGGGGGAGAGAGTTGACGGATGAACTATTTCTGTCAACTCTCATCGATGTGTGGAAGAAGGAGGCAGTGGATCCCAGCACGGAAGTATTCCTCACTGCTGTGCGCAGCGTCAATTCCGTCGCGGCGTTACAATGCGAGCGTGTGATGCGTCCGAGCACCAAGACACCGGTCCCATCATCCACCGAGGACGCTACTGCTACTGCTATGCCTGCAGTTCGTCCAGCGAAGTCGACCGAGGATCGGCGCTATCTGGTTCATCTTCTGGTGGCTCATCATGAACACTGCCAGTATCAAGGTGCGTCCTGTGATGGTCATTGTTCATTCTTTTCACAAGTGTTTCAGAAAGGCATTAGCTTTTCTGATGTAAGCCTATCTCTTTTTGATTGTTTATCTGTTGGGCACTTTCTCAGCACACATAATTGCTTTGATAGCAATACCATTGATTTCTCTGGGTCTGGCTGTGGAAATGCTGGTCTGCGACGCGTTGCTGCTGGTCTGTCGCAATGCAAGGGTGTACGCTTGCTTGATCTTGGCTGGAATGCATGTGACGATGCCAGTATACTGTCGTCCATCATTCAGTCTTTGTCAGGCAGTCTACAGAATGTCAATGTGAGCGGTATTCCTGTAGGTAGTGATGGTGTTGTATCAGTGTGTAAAGCACTGTCTACTTGTTCTAAGCTGAGTGTAGCCCGTGTGTCCTACTCACTCCCTCTCCATGGTGATGGTGTAGGTGATGTCCCTCTGTCATGTGTTAGTGAAGTTGTTGAGTCATGCCCTAATCTGTGTAGGCTGTACACATCTAGGTATGGTTTCCAGTATGATGACGAATGTTTGGAAAGGTTTGTCCGAGCTGTTCAGTCTCACACCGTGTTGCATAAACTATGGGTTGCACTGTATCGTGAGAATGCCAGACTGGTGTTCCGTCTTGAGCAGCTTGTCCTTGACCCTACCTGTACCCTGTCTGTACTTGGGTGATGGTGATGACTGTGTTAGTAGTTTGTGTACATTATGTGAGTGTGTAGATGATTTGTTTCCTGATTCGTCTCTTGAGCACAGACCAGCGGCAGCAGCAGCAAAGCCTAGACCAGTCCTTTTTTCTACCTATCTAATGTACATAGAGAAGACACTACTGTTGTCAAACTTGAATTTTCATTTTTCTATTGATTGAAATAATTTCCATGTCTATACCCCACTCTCGTTGTACAACCACTGTAGATAATTATTGTATTTTTTCTTAGTAGCTCTGCTTATAACAATCTCTTTTCCCCCGAGTGTGTGTTTTTTCTTGAGTATTTTTGTGGTTCATGAACTCGTATCTGGCTGACTAATCACGGCCAAGTTGTAATATTATATGTAATGCCAACCCTAGGTCGAATCTCGTGACGATCAAATGTGCTGAGGCCGTCTTTGACATTGTGTGATACCGGACTGTGTGTGTGTGTGCGTGCATGCGCGCGCGTGCGCACGCGTGTGTCTGTGTGTGTGCACGCGAGCGAGTGAGTGGCCAGGAAAAGCCGGTTCAATCAGCTGTGTGATGGATACCAGGCTAAAATCCGTGGCGGTCAATTCATCAGCCTTGCGAGCTGTTGAATGGTGTAGTCGCAGCACAAGTTGCTTGTCGGTATAACATAGCTGTTCGCTATCATCGCCTCCGCGATGGGCATGTCCGAGGTGATGTGTGGTGTGGTGTGTGTGTGTGTGTGTGTGTGTGTGTGTACATGAGCGAGCGTGTCTGTTGGGGGTCGGGTGAAGTGTGTGTGTGTGTGTGTGTGTGTTTGTGTGTGTGTGCGTGTATATGTGTGTCCCATATGGTGTAGTGGTATGTGCAGCGATTTCCAATCGAGAGGTTGCGGGTTCAATTCCCGACGATTATGGTCACACACGTCTTTCTTCTCTTTCTCAAACTCCACCTGACTTTTCTTTCATTCTCCTGGGTGGTTACCAACAGCCAGTGCATGCCGGAGTATGTGGTGTGATGTGTGTGCGGGAAAAAAAAGAAAAATGACCACAAGTAGGGATTCACTGGCGAGAAAAATATCCACTTAATACCTGTGCGGTGTAGACCAGGCCTAATAGTGGTGGTCAATTCTTCAGCCTTGCAAGCTGTTGAATGGTGCAATCCCAGCACAAGCTGCTATGGCTTCTGCTGTATGGGCGTCAAATGGTGTGTGCGTGTGTGTGTGTGTGTGTGGCAGCTAGTTTGGTTGGCGGGAATGCTTATGCCTGCTTGTGTTGGGTCTGTTGTCAACGGGCTCGGTTGCTTGAAGGAGTAATGTTGTACCTGCCACCTTTGTTGGTTTCAGGGTTCATAAACTCTCTATTTGAAGTATACATACCTGTTAACCATGGACTACTTCTGGCTAGATTAACTCTTGTGTCATCATGGTGCTAGTGAAGCTTATATCAGATCCACTCTGATTTAGCCAACCACACTAGCAGCAAGTATTACCTTCACTGGGGGCAGGGGTAAATGCAGTGGGATCCCTGGACGGATACCCTGATGCAGTCAATCCTTTTTCTGCACCTTGTCCTCACCCACTTACTGAGGTGTGGTGAGGCCATAAGTGGAATCATTTCCAAGTCCACCCAGAGTTTTGGAATTTACCAGTTTGGGCAGGGATCAAGTACAAGTATACTACTAGTGGATGATAGTATTGTGCACACATTATGGTAGTGATTGAGGAGTTTGCTGCAGGCTGTACTACTGTTATTCTCGCAGTGATCATAACTACTTATTTTCTTTCTACAAAAGGTGACCGGAATTACAATGCACGAGCGCAGAAGATGCTCACTAGCGTTAGGTCTAGGTCGCGTTGATAATGCTGCGACTGAGATGCTGCTGCAATGTATGCATTCCATGAAATGGCATTGAATAGTTTTAAAATCAAAACCGTCATAATTATTCTATTGGCAGACGGGTGTAGACATAGTTGTTGGTAGAATTGTGGTACATGTACTACTAGTAGTAGCTATGCCAGCTGTGACACGAGCACGGCACATACCACCACCTCGCTTGCAAGGAAGCTACAGTCATAGTGAGACCCATCGGAGAATTGCGTTAAATTTATTAATGGCAGACTGATGCGAACTCGATGTTGACATGTACGTACCAGGCGAACAGAATGGATAGTGCAAAGAAGCAGGCATGTGCAGTGCCTGGTATTGTCTCCCATGCTTCACTGGCTGCTGGCGTTGCATGGCCAACGCTGCAGTCAAGGCCAGAGCTGGTATGGCAGAGTGCGGGCATCACACATGCAGTCGTCACAGCATGGAAGACACAGATCATGCTGAGACACTCTCGCGTAGACTGGCGTCACCACTGCATCAAATAGTCCAGATCCTTTGTCACAGAGCAAACAGAGACACAGACAATAACTATAGTGAGCATGTGAGAGAGAAAGTAGGGGAGGGTGTGAGAACACATGCAAAGATCCCGTCACATACTGTTGATCGAGGTAGAGGAAAACAGAAAACGACAAGTATGAAGTGAGGGGGGGGGGGGCTGGTTTCGTTGAGGGCCAGCGGGCCAGAAATTCAGTTTAATTTGATTGCTTGATGCCGCGTATAGACTCACCATGTCATACATGCACTACATTGCATGCACACTCCTCAGACCTCAGACATGCCCATCGCAGAAGCGATGATAGCGAACAGCTATGTTAGACATAGCAACTTGTGCTGCACACTCACACACACACACACTCACACACACACACACACACACACACACACACACACACACACACACACACACACACACACACACACACTTTCCGGGAATCTGCGGGTTCTCCCGTTCGGTGTGCACCTTCATCCCTTTAGTTTTTCATGACCCGTGTGGCGACACATATGTTTCTGTTCCCAAGTCTTCTTCTTTATAATATTAACGTATCAGTTGACTTACCGAACTACGTCTTCTAACACGGAGTGGCAAGGTTCCTGCATCCTTCACCGACTGCGACCTCTGGTGATCGGCATGAGTACGAGATCGTGCCGAATCGGTGCGCATGAACCCTTCCGGCTCACTCCGGCTGTAGCTCATCTGGCTGCTGGTCTGCGAGCGACACGCCGAGCCAAGGCGACTGTCCGTGCGAGACGAGGAGCGGCTGTCTGTTCCGTACGGGTGGGGTACGGTGGTCGGTGTTGTCTGGCCGTTGCGCTTTACCTGTAAAGCAGGACAGTAAAGAATCGGCAATTTAGTTTTTAAAAGAAGAACACTGATAAGACAAACTTCCGTTTTAAAAGAACTAACATTCGTATCTCATTTTGACGTAATCAAATTGCCTGGTGGCTTGATGATCGTAGTAATACGTGAAGCTCAGAGTTGCGACACAGCTTCCAATCTCTGTCTGTCTCTGTCTGTCGGTCTGTCTGTCTGTCTGTCTGTCTGTCTGTCTGTCTGTCTGTCTGTCTGCCTGTCTCTCTCTCTCTCTCTCTCTCTCTCTCTCTCTCTCTCTCTCTCTCTCTCTCTCTCTCTCTCTCTCTCTCTCTCTCTCTCTCTCTCTCTCTCTCTCTCTCTCTCTCTCTCTCTCTCTCTCTCTCTCTTGTGTATACAATAATAGAATCTGATAAGAACTCCCGTTATTTAGAACAAATATCATAGGTATCTTGGTGTTCGTCCTAAAGAGGTTAGACTGTAATGCTCTGGAGTCCGACAACTACACCAGATTTTGAACAGTCAGACATGTACAACAAATCAATTATAGTAGAGCACTGACAAGGAGTACTGAGACATTCAACAGCACGAAACTGAGACATTTACAATTTCCTTGGCTCACCAACTGAATTCAGTGTTTTGTTGGCCTTGTAACTGATGTGCTGATGTCACCATGCTCACTGCTGGTTTGTTTTCCTTCAGTTCTTTGCATTCAATATAGCCAGGACTGAGAACCTAGTAAACTGGAGTGTTTTCTTTAAAGGTTTTACTACGAACACAGCCCTCCTGAGTAACATGTGGAGAGCAACATAAAACGAGACACAGAGGGGATGAAGGGACGGTGTGCTGATGTACAGGGAGCAGCTCAACCGACCAGATGTCTTGATGTTTGCATTGCAAACAGGCATCGAAAAGGTGTGTGTGTGTGTGTGTGTGTGTGTGTGTGTGTGTGTGTGTGTGTGTGTGTGTGTGTGTGTGTGTGTGTGTGTGTGTGTGCGTGTATGTATGTATGTGTGTGTGTGTGTGTGTGTGTGTGTGTGTGTGTGTGAGAGAGTTAAGGCTAAAATCAAAATTTCACCAGTTGTAGTCTTCGGGGTGCTGAGTCGAATGGTCGCGGTCGGAGGAAGCTGAGACGCTCCCTTCCTACTTTAATCCCAATCGAACTAGCGCACTTCCACCGAAACTGGGTGACTGCGCCCTACTAGATTGGGATTTGTATGCAAAATGTCACTAAAAGCGCCATTCGTTCTTATAAAAGCACGGATGACCGCGATTGGCCCATATGTTGTAGTCTTTACACCAGTCACCTAGTCACCGTGCCTACAGGGTACAACTTACTAGCCTGTTTGACCCTTTTTTGGGTGCAGTCTTGTCACTCGAGTTAACTCGAGTTGAACCTTGGTGTGAAAGTTGTCGCCTGCTGGCGTGGTGACGAGGTGATTTGGGCACCCAGGAGCACGTGACCGCTTGTTCAACCATGTTCGATTGGGAATAAAGGAGGAACGCTGCATCGCAGCCTTTTCGGACCAAAACCAGTCGACTCAGCGTCCAAAAGACTACAACATATGGGCCGATCGCGGTCATCTGTGCTTTTATAAGAATGAAATGGCGCTTTTAGTGACATTTTGCATACAAATCCCCATCTAGTAGGGCGCAGTCACCCAGTTTCGGTGGAAGTGAGCGAGTTCGATTGGGATTCAAGTAGGAAGGGAGCGTGTCAGCTTTCTCGAACCAAGACCATTCGACTCAGCACCCCGAAGACTACAACTGGTGAAATTTTAATTTTTGCCCTAACTTCCCCTCTAAAAGAATAATAATGGGGCGAGGTGTTTGATAATCTGAACCTAGGCTAGGCGTCTCGGAGAAAACAAACAACATGATTGTCATAATGATCCATTGATCGTATGCCGGTATGGACATCCTATATTCAGTGGATCAGGGCTCATGGTGATTTATTCTTGATCAGTTCAAATAGCTCATGCTTCGCTATGAGTGTGGATCCCGGGTTTAGAAAGCTAGCTCTTGTTATCATCTTACCGTCAGAGTACCCGCTGTGCCGTCACTACCGCCCGCTCTCCTCAGTTGCACCTCATTCGCTCGGTCGACAACACGCTGCTTCCGCTGCGCTTCCAGATGATACGCCGACTGTGACATGGTCGCATATACTGCTTCGCTTAGCTATTTTCCTGTGACGGGCAAGCTGATCCAGTATTTGCTAGATGCAATGGGATTGAATTTGTTGCTCGTGAAAACTGTACTGGGTGAAAGGAGAACGTTACAGCTGGTTTCTTGGGGCGCACACACCGCACATCTACATGCACCACCTAACGAAGGAGACAAAACAAAACAAACGCTTCTCTTCGCCCCAGAAAGCCAGAGGGTGGAGGCTCCTGCTTTGTCAAACTGAAGCTGATCTGATCGTATGCGCGGGACACCAGGTTGTGTCGCTGCTCGCGTGATGCTGCTGTGGAATCTGTCATCGCCGCCTTTAGTTTGAGCTTCGTGGTGTCGCTACACGGGAAAAAAGTACACAGCACTCTGCAGACTGCAAGCAGCGGGTGGCGATCAATGGATCATGCAGACTGCAAGCAGCGGGTGGCGATCATCATGATCATGCGGACTTGAAAAATGTGGGATGAAGTCTGAAGAGTAAAACCTGCAGGCTGCATGCAGGCTGCACTGGCTGCAAGTGCAAAGCTGTCGTACCCGTGCTGACCTGTTAGTGTTTGTGTAGCTGGTGACAGCAACGCAATGTGTAGCCACGGTAATGCAGGTCTGAGAAGATCAAAAAGTTCGTTTTTGGTTGAACTAAGAACTAGTTACTTGAATCCCAAAGCCAAAGTCAAAGCCTGAAACAAGAATGGCAAAGGCCAAAACCAGGGGTAGGAGTCGCGAGGGATTTCAGAACTCCCTGGTCAAAGCCGCACAGGTCGACGGCACAGTGTGTACTTCCTGCACTTTTACTCTTTTCTCATCATCGCCACTGAGGTTGCGCTTGTTAGTACTGGCACAGTAGCAGCGGCGGTGAGGAAAGTTCGAGAACTTGAACCTGTTTCCCCCCTTTCCATTCCCGGATGCTCATACTAGTAGTGAAGACTGGAAGCTCGGTTGTGTTTAGCTACCCGGCAACAGGACAGTCAGTGTTCATAACAGTGTACTCTTGCTGACTCTTGCTTCTTGGTATCACCCGGTACCCATGTTGAAGTTGCAAACGATCCCTACATTACGAGCTCGTTCAACACTATTCCGAACACACACTATAAACAGACAACCATGGTCAACACCGGACAGGAGTCGCGAACGCCTTTTTCACGCCTCCCTGCACCACAATCAACACTACAGATTTTCGAGTTCAAACTTGCACAAGTAAGTAAATTAGTTACAGAAACTTTCAAAAGAGCCCACGCGTACGCACGCTCATTGCTCTTCAAGCTTCACACCAACTCAGAGCCAAAGCAAAAGGTCATAACGGTGCTGTAGACAACAAGACACAACAAAAGTAGTGCATGTCTTCTTGGCTGTTCAAGTAAAATTTGGTTGGAAATGAAGACTGCCAGCGTTGCTTTTCTGACTCGCTTCACAGGACCACGGAGACCAGGTCGGAGTTCTCGTAGTAGTGGCTCACAGTGCTCGTGTGTGAAAGGGGATAGTCGCAGTAGAGTACGACTATGACAAGACAGCATGCAGTCGTCTTTCGCAGTTTCGGGACTTGTCATGCGACGATCCCGCCGCCCTTGGCTACTGTATCCGTGGCGCTGTTCCGGGCGAGGTCAAAATAATTATTCAAACGCCGCTCGCCGTGCATGCCGCACTTCTCTACCTGTCATGGACCGATCTGTGGGGGAAGACCGAAGCGTCTTCATTCAAACTCGGCCGCAAACCTCTTGCTTTTGTTACTCGACGAACTACGTTACTTCGGCCCACTGCCACTGATGCCACGGACTGGAAGCGAAGTCTGAGAAACTCGTCCCACCGCGATGACCGACGGTCCCCACTGACCAGCACAGGGAAGTCCGTCTCACGCCGAGTAAAGTAAGCATGTCATTTGAATGATCGACGCTGCATGCTATCGACTGTTGACAACGAATGCAGCAGAGCGTTTCCTCATTTCAAGCAAACCCCAAGTCTGAGTGGTGTAATGCGAGAGTGACCAGTCTCTGGCAATACTCCGGATTTCGTTTGGACACGATCAGCGGGCGAACACCGCCATGGCGATGGCAAAGGCGTTCGTGATCGCCGATGCGCACAAGCGGGACATCACGGCCGTCGAGTTCTTGCCGTACAAGCGAGAGTATGTGACTGCGTGCGAAGGTTAGTTGGCTGTATGCAGCATTGGTTTTATGACACTGCACCAGACTGTTATTGCCCTGGCCACTGCCTTGGCCTTGGGCGGATGCTTGGATTGGGCCTTGATATGTACAGATAAACATAGTCATTGATGACCTGTTCCAGATGCTGGGACTGAGAACTATGGTCGAAGTCTGCAAACAAGCTTGCGAACCTTGTCACACTGTGCGGTGGCAGGAGACACACACTAACCAAGCGTACAAAGGCACTTCTCCATTGAAACGCTCGTGATTTACAGTTACAGACATTTCCAAGTTATGGGCAGTTGCTGGCCGCGGACCACCCTGGCGGGTCATAGTAAGGCCCCCCCCCCCTATCGCTGGCGCTCAGCTGGCTTGCGTGATCCCTGTGACGCGGTCACACCAGACCTTGAGTGCAAAGCTTGAATGGCTTGCCGGTTTTTCTTACCCGCCAAATTTTGAATATCTCGAAACACACCAATGTTTGCAAGAAACCGGAAAGCAGAAGGTTCGCGATCTAAAGCTGTACTTGTTCTAGTGTTCAGTTTTGATGAAGAAGCAAAGGAAGCCCGGACCCTGAATTGCGAAGTCGTGCTCTTTTTATTTGTTCGGTGTGCATGGGCGCGATGGTTCGGGTGGTGTTTCCTGATGTCGAGCTTTCTGCCCCGCCGCTTGCCGTTCTTCAACTCAGTTGCAGTCCACTCTCTTCTTCGTACCCGGCTTTCTTCATGAATTCGGTCGTGAGTGTGGTGCCTTGTCTTGGCCTCAAACCGCAGCTCCAACAATCTACGCAGCAGTCTAGAGGCACAGCGGCAGAAATCCATGGTCGTCGGACAAAATCCAAATCAAACTGAATACAGTGTAGTTGGATAGACAGACTCACGGTGAAAACCAAAGGCACAGGGATGGCACGGCTCCACGGACACAAGAAAGAACATCAATATCAGTTCATCATGTCAACTAGTTACATGGTGTGCTCCAAGCGCACTCAAATTATTTTTTGAATTTCGGCTTTCAGCCGCTTGTACAAGCTGTGGCTGAAACAAGCCGAAAAAAAAAACGGCTGAGAGTCAGCCACGGCTGAAAGTCGCTTGTAGGACATTTTTCAGCCATTTCCATGGTAATAGTGACGTAAACAAGCGCTTTTTTCGGCTGAACGGCTGAATCGAGCTCGGTGTGACCGCGGCCTAAGCGAGATGTGAGCGTAAAATTGGTGTTGCTGCAAAGTAAAACCGTCCTGCAGAGGTTGAAGTGGCTGGGCAGGAGTAGTACGTCTGCAATGGCAAAGGTGATTCTGGTGCAGTGCGAGTGTTTGTTTTTTGAGATCCAGAGGGAGCATTGTCAGTTAGTCCTGTTGCCTGACGATTGACAAGCACAGGCGTGAAACTCGTAGTGGCAGCAGACATGCGTATAGCTGGTGAGGACCTTACTGGTCCATGAGGGGGTATAGCCATGTATACAGCAGAATGATGTCTCTACTCTGGACTATTAGCTGTGTTCTGTTACATGTACACTACACTCCTGTTCTTGTAGCAGTTGAGCACTCTAATGTGGGGTAGTGGCTTTGCTGTTTGCGTTATGCGGAGCTCACTGACTTGTCAGTTTGAGCACTCTGGCAAGGTCCGTTCGGGCCGGGTTTGAACCTGGCTTTGGAAAATAATATTAATATTTTTTCATTCCTATCAGGTTCAGCCTCATCTTCTCTGTGCTGCGCTGATGAGTCCACAGAGGACGAAACAGTTCTGTCCACAGAGGACGAAACAGTTCTGTCCACAGAGGACGAAACAGTTCTGTCCACAGAGGACGAAGCAGTTCTGTCCACAGAGGACGAAGCAGTTCTGTCCACAGAGGACGAAGCAGTTCTGTCCACAGAGGACGAAGCAGTTCTGTCCGCAAATCGAGCCGAGTGTAAACTACAGTGATGTATTGTTGACTGATTATTGCAGGGGGATTCCTATCGTTCTGGGAGGCTGACACAGGAAAGCAGGTTAACACCATCAAGGCTCATCCGGGTGCTGTCATGGCTCTGGCTGTCTGGTGAGTTCCCTGGCCGTGATTGTTCCTGCTGCTACTACTGCAGTTGTATCTGCTGTTTCCGCTGTGCTGATGCTGGTACTACACTCCTATCTCTCTAACCCGAACCTCCAAGTTCCGGGCACCTCAGACTACCGGGCAACCTGTGGGTGAGGATAAGTTGAAATATTATTACTCTATGCCATTTTTTTGTGGAAATAGTGACATCACATGCCAGATGTTTGTGCCCGGTTCTGGACCGTCCCGATTAGAAAGATGCGAGTGTGCTGCCTGTGCTGGTCATGGTGTTGCTATTGCTGCTGCTTCCACTGTTGCTACTGCTACTACTGATGCTATTGCTGCTGCTACTGATGCTGCTGCTGCTGCTACTGATGCTGCTTCTTCTGTTTCTGCTACTGCTGCTGCTGCTGCTGCTGCTGCTGCTACTGCTGCTGCTGTTGCTGATGCTGTTGCTGCTATCGCTAATGCTGCTGCTACTGCTGCTGCTGCTGATGCTGCTGCTGCTGCTGCTGCTGCTGTTTCTGTTGCTGCCATCGCTAATGCTGCTGCTACTGCTGTTGCTGCCTTGTTCTTGTTATGAATAATGGCAGTGATGTACAAAAAGCGGCGCCTGTCCAAGAATGAAATGTGGCATTGTAGAAGTACCGACAGTTATCCATGTGCTCGTTGCTCCTTTTAGGAATGATGCTAAAACACTGCTGTCGGGAAGTTTGGACGGAACTGTGAAGACGTGGACTTCTGTCCTGGAGTGCCGGCAAATCCTTGACGTAAGCGAGTTTGCATTCAGAGTGCTATGTGTGCGTGTTGAACTTGATGGTGAGATGCACATGCCTTTCGTTTCTGCTTCAACTTGTAACCATGGTGACATCAGCAAGGACCCATGCTGCATTCGAAGACATGACTGGAGTTGGTCACCGGCAGCGGGTATTAGCAGTCGTTGTGCGTTGCCTTGGGAACTTAGATCAAAAGTGTTATAGACGTATACTCATAATACATCCACATCGGACTAAAGTATCTCGACTACAGAAGGCTACTAGGCCGACTCGTACACTGGCACACCGTGCAAAGTGACCAGCAGGGAATTGAGCCCAAAGCAGGATTGAGCGCAACCATGTATCTATCATGCAGAGGGTGGGCAAAATGTTTAAAACAGTTCGTCACATAATAGTTATAAATGTGAAGTTTTGAGAGACGCATAGCTGGAATTTCACACTCTTAGGGGTTATGGTCGTTTGCTGCTGCTGAGCTCGCTTTTTTGATTTTCCATGTTGTGATTCTGCAGCTCCAGACTCCAGTATACTCAATGGCATGGCATTTGAGAACGGGACAACTGCTGGTCGGTGTGGAAGGTGCTATGCAGGTCATATCGGAAAAAGAAGGTATGTTTCACATGCTCAAGTATTCTTTCAGAATCTATTAGGCTCCAAGCTTTGTTCCAGCTTTCTATAGGTGTTTTGTTGTGTTAGCCTCTCGCATGTTCTTCATTTAAAAATGTTCATCACTCATCAAAGGATCGAGGTGCAGTGTAACTCTGATAAAACGTACCCATGGGAAAAAGGAAAGTATTCTTGGCATCGGACGTTTTTCTTTTCCGAACATACTTCAAAAATGGAGCAGCACCCACCCATCCGAAGATAACACACTCAGCAAGTACAGTAAAACCTGTAACTAAAGACCACCTTGACTAGCGACCAGCCTGGTACTACAGTAAAACCTGTAACTAAAGACCACCGTGACTAGCGACCAGCCTGGTACTACAGTAAAACCTGTAACTAAAGACCACCGTGACTAGCGACCAGCCTGGTACTACAGTAAAACCTGTAACTAAAGACCACCGTGACTAGCGACCAGCCTGGTACTACAGTAAAACCTGTAACTAAAGACCACCGTGACTAGCGACCAGCCTGGTACTACAGTAAAACCTGTAACTAAAGACCACCGTGACTAGCGACCAGCCTGGTACTACAGTAAAACCTGTAACTAAAGACCACCGTGACTAGCGACCAGCCTGGTACTACAGTAAAACCTGTAACTAAAGACCACCGTGACTAGCGACCAGCCTGGTACTACAGTAAAACCTGTAACTAAAGACCCCGTGACTAGCGACCAGCCTGCTACTACAGTAAAACCTGTAACTAAAGACCACCGTGACTAGCGACCAGCCTGGTACTACAGTAAAACCTGTAACTAAAGACCACCGTGACTAGCGACCAGCCTGCTACTACAGTAAAACCTGTAACTAAAGACCACCGTGACTAGCGACCAGCCTGGTACTACAGTAAAACCTGTAACTAAAGACCACCGTGACTAGCGACCAGCCTGGTACTACAGTAAAACCTGTAACTAAAGACCACCGTGACTAGCGACCAGCCTGCTACTACAGTAAAACCTGTAACTAAAGACCACCGTGACTAGCGACCAGCCTGCTACTACAGTAAAACCTGTAACTAAAGACCACCGTGACTAGCGACCAGCCTGGTACTACAGGAAAACCTGTAACTAAAGACCACCGTGACTAGCGACCAGCCTGGTACTACAGACCACTTCGCCAAGCACGGACGGCCTCACATCCATATATGGTTGTGCGGTGCAAACCTCTAACTAAGGACCACCTGCCACTAAAGACCGCTTTCTCTGGCCCCAAGGGGTGGTCGCTAGTCACAGGTTTTACTGTACACGTCTGATCAGAGTACCGTATTTTCTCGATTAATAGACCCGGTCTTTTGTTTTTTTGAAGAGGGTTGGACCCCGGTCTCTTATTTGGGCATGGTCCATTATTTGAGCACGGTCCACTATATTTTCATCGGCACACCGCTGGAAATGGTGGGTATAAATTCTATATAATGACGTGTTAAAAACCCACCATTTCCAGCGATGTGCCGATGAAAATATAGTGGACCGTGGTCAAATAACAAAAGAAAGCACTAGCCACTACAAAAATTGTAGTTGCGCAACCTAAAATCGCGTCCTTTTTTGATCCACCACGTGCTTTCTTTGTGCGCATGCGCAAAGCGATGAAAACAAATAAGAGACCGGGTCTCTTATTCGGGCATGGTCTACTATTTTTCCGTGAGGCCTCTAGGAGGGTCTACTATTTGAGCATGGTCTATTATTCGAGCATGGTCCATTAATCGAGGAAATACGGTATACACTATTGAGATTTCAAGCTTGGAGCACTAGCCTTTCCCTACATTTTCAGCACACACAATAACATGCTCCCCTACTTTCTAGCCACTATGTGAAGTGCAATGATATCAGGCCCTGATTGGCGAGATGGAAGCATGTTTATTGTGTTCTGGTATGCCTTCTCTGCAGGCAGCAAGCTCTCGGGTCGCTATCTGAAAACCAGAGGTATGCGTGAGCGTGTGACGTTTCACATCCATGTTATTCGCTTCACAATGTAGAGTGCCACAGGTTTGTATCCCCCCCTCCCCCCCCCCCCTCTCCTCCCCCCCCCCCCCAGCCCCATTCCTTACCTTTCTCACTTTTCCTTGTATGTATGTATATTTTTATTTGAATTCGCAAGTACACACGGGCTACAAGCCCAATTACATGGAAGCGAATGCCATAATGAGGCCAATTAAGAAAAAAAGGTGGAGGAAGGAGGAGGACGGTAGCAAAGCAACAGGGAGGACAATTCAGGACCAAAATCAACAATTGCACAAATGTGAGAGCACCTGAGACCGAAGGTACCTGTGGAGCGATAAAATGCCAAGCAAACAGAAGAAAGGAAATCACAAGCCAATACACGCTAAACTGCACTTGAGTTAGAATGAAGGGGAAAACCGGAGCTCAACAAAATTATAACGTACAAAGTCATAATAAGAAGTCAGCTGGATGAGAAGTAGCACAAGCAAACATTTCCTGACAACGAGAGGGGCTGTAACTACAGCCACAGCAGTAGCTGCTGTAGCAGCAGCAGCAGCAGCAGCAGCAGCAACAACAACAACAACAAAAACGTGTACCTCGGTGTTTCTTCCACCAGTGCTGACTGTGAAATGGTGAAGTGCATGTCGTGTACAGCCACGTAATAGTGGTCAATAGTGTGAGTATTAAGCTCCCTCGCCCTGGGTTGGCTTTTAACACTCTTTCCAGTTAGCGTCAAAGTGTTCTGCCCTCGTGCAAATCTCGCTGTTGTACTCACGGTTAGAGTCCTCTGACCGTTTGATGCTCTGAGCCAGTTCAAAATTTGCTTTTCACTGGACTTTTTGCGATCAGCTCGGCCAGCCACTCAGAGCTCCGCTGATGAGCTGTAACACAGTCCAAACAGCTAGCTGTGCGGAGATAGAGTAATGGTATTTATTCATTTTATTTATCGTCTCCACTTCATGGCACATAATAATACATAGCCAATACAAGAAAGGGAGGGTGAATCCAACCACGGAAAACAGCATTATCAAAAGAAGAGAAGGAAGGGAGGTGTCACCATGTGCCAACAGCAGGTAGCACCATACTATTTTAGCTGAAATGCATCCTTAAAAGCAAAGCAAATGATAGCTATATGATCATGTGGCTGCTTGTGTACTAGTACAAACGGAATTCGGTGAATCAAACAACCCGGAGCTTGGATGGCTGATGATAGAAAGCTTTTTACTAGCACGCCACGATACTGCTTTCACACTTGTGTCTTGGTCTGTGTGTATGTGTGCGTGCGTGCGTGTGTGTGTGTGCACCCTCGTCCATGCCCATGTGCATTGTCTACAGCTGACTACGTTCTTGCACATCATGAAGACATTGTGCAGGGAATACAGAGCTATGAGAGTCGCGTCTACTCAGCTGGGTAAGGTACTAGTGCTCCGGCGCCATGATTATCATCATATTGCACAAGCCGAAAACTTGGCAGGTGAATAATGTCAAACAACTCCAAACAAAGACATGTGTTTGGTGGAAACTTTCGTCCATAGGTGTTAAAACGCAGTGAAAGGCTAGGCACATTGACATTAATCTCGCATTCTATTTAGTCGGAAAATTCTTCGGACAAAAATGACAAATTCATTTTCCGACAAATATTTCTGCTTGTACAGTACCACCTCCAGTCCAGTCATAAAAATTCCATTGAATTCGTGCAGTGCCTAACTGTACTGGTCCAATGCCATACCTACTAGTGTCCAGTACATGTACAGCAAAGTGCTGGACTATGCACTGTAACCCATCTCCCGGATGTGGCCTAGTTTCCAGGGTAATCCCTTGCTCAGTAGGCCAGTCCGGCAGACAAAACTTGAGTTATTCAAAGCCTTTCTTTGAAAGTATGGTAGGTACTAAATTTGACCCGTGAAGACAATATCCCAGATCGTCCTGAAAAGTGTTTTCTTGCACGTTTGTTTGTGTGACCTGTTGATTCAGCATACGACATCTGTAGAGTAATTGTACAAACAGTATTGCTGGTCGGTGCACTTCTGTTTTCATTATTTTTATCTTTATAAACCAATCTTGTGATGTTTTGTTTGTTGCCGAGCAGGATGGATTCAAAGCTCATTGCTTATGAGACTTACAGTGATCACGGCCGAGAACTGATTCGAGCGGTCACAAGGTACAGTCGACTCCACTTATAACAAACTCTCATATAGCGAATTTTGTGATTTAGCGAACCGTTGTCCATGTCCCTGTTTGAACCTATATAAAACCTGCATGGATGTGTGTGTGTGTGTGTGTGTGTGTGTGTGTGTGTGTGTGTGTGTGTATCCTCTTCGGCGAATTGGACAAGAAACGGCCAGGTCATGGGCTCCGGAAGCCGTGGCGGGACAATGTTGTGTCCGACATAAAGGACCGCCAGATAGCGGACTGGTTCGACCTCGCCCAGGATTGCAGAGAGTGGAGATCAGCATGCAGCACCATTCCTCCGACCGAGCCCGTCACCTTAGACTTCGTTTGCACTTGTGGAAAGCGCTATCGCCGTCGCCAGGACTTGACTCGCCACGCCCGATTCTGCTCGTGACTTGAACACTGTTGGTCCCTTCTAGACCTGCCATCATCTCCGGATGGGTATATTGTATTGTATTGTGTGTGTACATGTGTATTATCTCAGTATGAACATGGTTTGTGTGGGCAATGCAGGAGTGCACCTGTTCCTGAATGATTGCATGTATGATATGTTTGTCAGTGTTTGACATGCCTGCAATCGGAAAATCTCTCATGGCTTTGCTGCAACAAGACATCCACCACCATCACAAAACTTAATGGATGGGTACAGATTCTAAACAATGTGGTTTTTGGTATCATTTTTTCTTGGCCATCGCAGAAGAGAGTGCGCGCACACGTGTGGTATTCCGTTCCTAACAGTTGGCAAGGACACTACGGGCAACATCTGGTAAGGACATACCGTTAAGCAGCAGTGGACTAGTACTCAGTTTCCCAGTCCATGCAGTTTTAAGTAGAATTTGACTGGCATACATATCCATCATGAGCTATTAGTACATGGTTTGTACACAGTGCGAAGTAGAGGAACCCAGCTTCTATCATGACCTTTTCGAATCTGGAGGCTCGATTTGTCAACACGAGCAATCAAAGAATGACACTGCCCCATTTATCCATACGACGTCCTTTCGAAGTGTTCGTGGACATACATTAGTGCAAGCACTAGAGAACCCGCTCTATGCCAAGGTTGTCTGTTTGTACTTGCTCTATGTTCTGGTATAATCAGACATGGTGATGGCCGGGCACAAGCCAAACTTCCTAAGCTGGTTGTGTTTCTCAAAACACTGAACTCTATCGCCACTGGTAACACGAATGTGCGATTATTTTGCTATTGCTTCCTGCTTGATTCAGGGTGATCACCGGTTCGTATGATCGTTATGTGCGCATTTGGTCCATGGACCTGCAGGCCATCTACTCCTTTGGACACAAGTAAGTGGTCCGATAAACCACTCTAAACCGAATAGAGCCTTCCTTTTTCACACCTCTCACCCACTTGCTCCTTCACATTAATTTTTGGATGTCTTTGTTCAGTTCCAACCATGTCCGCACTCGAACTGCAATGCACTCTAGACCAAACATCTCCCAGTACAGGACAGATGTGTCTGGCCCAGAGGGTCTGTGAGTGTCACAGTGCAATGGAGCACGCTCTGGAGATGGTGGCTGAATCTTGCCCGAGAACACATCCCTAGAGCAAAGCCTGAGGGCAGTAGATCTCGAGGGCTGCATTCGATTTAGTTTAGAAATATGTACTAAAATTTGTAAAATGGAAATTGTGGGCACAAGTTATGCTATCGAGTCCATCATCTAAACCAGATTTTGAACAGTCAGACGTGCACAATCTATCACAAAACTGACAGGAGTGCTGAGACATTCCACGGCACGAAAGTCAGCCTGAGCACTGCTCGATAGCGCCAACCAACGGCCTTCCAACTTGGAAGGTTCATGGATATTAGTGGTAATTCCAATTTCCATGTTCCAATTTGTTTTCCTTGCCTTACCATCTGAGTTCTTAAATATTTACTACTTGGTATTTAGTGCTGTGAGGGGGTCTGAATATCCTGTCATTCCTGCCTGGTGTGTGTGTGTGTGTGTGTGTGTGTGTGTGTGTGTGTGTACATGTGTATGCCTGGCATGTATGTGTGTGTGTGTGTGTGTGTGTGTGTTTGTGTGTGTGTGTGTGTGTGTGTGTGTGTGTGTGTGTGTGTGTGTGTGTGTGTGTGTGTGTGTGTGTGTGTGTGCGTGTGTCCGTGCAGTGAGGACATTCGAGGTCTGTGCGTGAGTCACTTCTGCAATCAGCTGTGGGTGATGCAGAACCAGTCCACCGCAGCACACATCTACGATCCCAAGTCCGGTGAAGAGCTCTCCGACTACATGGTCACGCATGAAGAGATGCTCAGCAAAGAGTAAGCCACCCCTCTCCACCCTGCCTGCAGAGAACAAGACGGGGAGAATCTTGGGGTTCAAATCTAGGAATCTATATCCACACAAGCTCTCCAAATATATACTCTTAACTGGGAAAAATATACTTGTAATGCAACCGTGTCGAGTGTCCAGGGCACCTTTTATATTACGCTTCACACACAAAAACGTTCCTTGCCCAGTTTGTCTTTCGCACGAATCAGCTGATTTGTTGGGACCCTTGTTTCACAAATTGCTCCGGCTCGAACCTTAGAATTGTCTCCTCCGCTATTCTGGCCTAGTCCTGAGCACATTCCAGGTCCACCCAGTGGTGCTGATGGATGAGAATGTCCCCCCCCCCTTCCCCCGCACACACACACGCCTACTTTCCTTCTCGTGATCTGAGCACATGCACTGAGTGCGAACAGCATTCTAGTTTTCGGCAAAAAGGCTGAAGCAGTCTGCTGTTTCCCTTTTCTTGTGCTCACCAGCCTGGGTATTCTCAAGCTGTTTTCCTGGTCCGAAACTGGAGACATTGTGGGTGAGTGTACAGCGGTGTGTTGTGGATGAGTTCACAATGGTTGAGATGCTTTATGTGTTCCGAATGCACTGGAAGGTGCCATTGTACAAGAGCAATGTCCTGTTTTGGATTTTGAAACCGAGTAGATTACAAGAAGTAGCGACGACCCAGCCATTATGGAATCAAATACACCACACCACCACATTGCGCTCTTGGCCGATTTTTTGCGCGCCCCTTTTCACACGTGCTACATGTTCCTGTCCCAGCCATGAGCGCGTGTCGTTATCACCTGACCTATTTGATCACTTTTGTCATTTTTGTCACTTAGGGTAGGCCATGTTTCTATGCAGAATGAGCGCAATTGCGCCAATTTAGCCCTATAAAGATTAGTCTATTCTTATTATTCTTTCATTCAACATCATATACCTCCACTGATGAGCTCAGGAGGAGCGAAACAGCTGTCTGGAGGGTTATTGTCAATATCAATCTATACTGTAGTACCGGAATTGTCCTCGCTGTGGTGATGGTGATGTGAGTGCAGAGTTTGGATCGGCCAAGAGCGCAATGTGGAGGTGTGGTGTATTGGATTCGAGTAGATTACCAAGGAACAACTCCCGAATTACATGTGTGTCAAGGGGCGTAACACCCGCTACGACTGGTACGACCATGGTCGTACCACTTTTCGAAAAGTGTGGTCCGTCCGGAACGTGCAAAACCGTAATAAAAAAATCAGGATCCATCGATCCATACTAGTATGCGCATCAGACTTTGACTCGTAGACCTGCCATGCAGTCATACTGGGTACATACTGTCCTCGACTCGACTGCACACTGCACAGTCCCAGAACGCAGGATTTGTCTCCTTTTTACAAAATTTTCCCGGGGGAGGTCCCCGCACCCCTCCCCTCCAATACGGCCTTTGGCCGTGCCGACCTTCGGTCGTACCACTTCCAAAACCCCTCCTACGCCCCTGATGTCTATGGCAGTGAGTTTCAATTCAATTGTCACTGTGATGCAAAGCTCACACACGGACACACGCACACACACACACACGCACACACATGCAAAACACGCACTCATACACGCACGCGCACTCCTTCTGCTTGTCATTTTCCCTGTCTCTCTTCTTCACTCCTTTCAGGCACTACTCGTAAAAAGTCACTGGTGGTATGGAAGTTTGACTACGGAGCTCCCATGGTCATCAACAAAGTGGATGAGATTCAACATACATTAGCATACAGTAAGATCACTTACTCAAAATAATATTGTTTCCCAATGGGAATCATTTTCCCTGGGGGGGGGGGGGGGGGGGAGGAGTGTATTGTGTTGTTCTTACACCACCTACCTTTCACATGTTGCATTCTGCACATCACTGTAAGTGTCGTACTCACACCTTCATGATGTGCTTCATTCACACTGCTGTATGTTATAGTCTCTTGTCATTCCAGTAATCATTACATTCTGGCCATCTCACTACAGGGGGGCCAGTTTTGTGTCCGAAAACATAACTTCATGCACCAAGTACTTGTATAGAAGTGCATGCCTGTTATAAACATACTCGTGCAATCAGCTTTCCCATATTCTGGCAGTGAGAGAGGGAGCGATTGCGATGAAAATTGTCTTTTTTGAAATTCGTTTCAGTGCAAAGTGTCGGTATTTACGAACGCTCCTCTCAGTGAAGATAAATGCAAACGGGTACGGTCCATCTCGTCAGACTGCATTCTGTGAAGTGTTTGTGTCAGGACAATTCTCCCCCAACCTCACCCTCCCATCTCTTCTAGCCATGCTTTTTACGATGGCAACCAATTTCTTCTGGGCGCAAACATTCTGTGGTGAACATTTCTTTGACATTTTTGTGCACTGTGTACATTGCATTCTGCATTATTTGCAGCACGGAAAGTACCCATCCTGATCTTCAGCGGCGGTGAGGATGGAGACATTGTCAAGTGGGAGAAACAACAGCTGAGCAGTCTACGCTTCAGGTTTGTTGATGGTTAGATGCTACTGGGTGTGTCAATCAACGCACGCCTAACCCCTTTTTCGTTGCATGTCTGGGAAGAGGCACGAGGACAAATACAAGCCTGTTTTAACACTCACTGCATGATGAACTAAAATGAGGAGAGGAACTCGACACAATGCTTCATATCCCAGCAGGACGGAGTGGGTGGGACCTGTGTCAAGAGAATTAAATGTGTCACCTGATTCACTCTGCTTGCGCCAAGCTTTGATTCTTCCAAAACCGCAGAGTGTTGATCGTCCAGCTGCACCCGGATGGTCCAGTGATTATGCTTACACACATGAAGAACAGAAAGAATAAAATTCGACGGGTTCGCGTACCGGATGAAGAACAGAAGACACTGGAAATTTGGACCAGGCCTTTTGTACCGTTACTTTGCAAAATTTCTTGAAGACTTATGGTACGAAAGGCGTCGGTAAAATGTCCAGTGTCTTAGGTGCTTCGTGTGATAATTTCATTTCCTCCAGTCAAAAACTTTTCATGTTTTATGCTACAGAAAGTAGTAAGCAGATGTATACTATCACATAGTTGGACGGGGGGGAAAACCCGGATCGCACGCCACTCAAACCCACCATCAGTTCATTAAAAAGCTCAAGCCAGACAAGATTACAATTTCCTTGGAAACAAGAATGCAGTTATACTTAGAAGTAGGACACAGTTGAGGCTCTTGAACATTTTGAAAGTTTTCACTAGTGTACTTTCATGCCTTATCATCAGGTGAAATACAGGCAAACTCGAATGAACACAAGATTAGCCATATTTTTCCACAGTATAAGCCGCAGCACCCAGATATTTATTTGTCACGAAACACGGACATCCACCCCATATATCACCATTCGTTTGACCATCGTAGTATGCGCCGCGCTGACGTTTTCTGTGTGAATTATGAGTATTTAAAGGGCTGCGTACACTCCGGAGAATCAGGTATCTTGTTTTCCTTCTTTATTCTGTTTCCAGTACTGAGACGCTTCCTTACAGCGAGGCTGCCGACAAGGTACGACTGACCGAAGAGGAGATATTTGCCAGGGAGCAGGCCAGGAGGCTAGAAAGTGGCGGAGCCGACACGGGAGAAGTTGAGGTAGGTGTCGAGTGGTAGAGTTGACAACCGAAGGCCGTATGAGCATTTAAGCCAAGTGGGACAAAGTTCACACTCTAGCTGGGTAGATCCTGGAGGTCAGGTTGTCACTAGATGCCAGCTTGGAACAGACAATAACACTTGGAATATCAACTAATCCCCCCCCCCCCAACCCCTCCTCTCACAGTTTGAACATCACTGAATAATTGCACCGGCTATCTTCTCGCAGCAGCGTCACTCTGTCTTCAATTTAACATGTGCTGCCTGGTGTGCATGTGGGTGCGGGCATGGGTGAATGCGCGCACATAATTATGTGTTCGTGCGTGTGTTTGTGTGTATGCGGCGTGTATGTGTGTGTGTGTGTGCGTGTGTGCGTGTGTGTGTGTGTGTGTGTGTGTGTGTGTGTGTGTGTGTGTGTGTGTGTGTGCATGCATATGTACATGCCTGCATGCGTGCAGACCGAAAAGCACATCTCCATCAATCGAGTGGTGTTTGTGGAAAGCTGTGACTACCTCATAGCCGGCTGTGATGATTCAAACATTTGTAAGTCAGATATACTGCTCTCAGTCACAGTAGAGAGGTTACATTGCATGCTATTTTTGACGGGATGCATGAGTTCCGCTTGCATGTTGGAGAACAACCTGAGAGAGCTGCATCTCGCGCGGAAGTTTGGCGTTTTACGCCGATCGAGAACCCATTTAACGTGAAACTGCGTGGCACGTCTAAAAATAACGTGCAGCCTATTATTATTAGACCTCGCTAATATATTCTCCAAACTCACACAAATCCTGCTTTCAAAACTACACTAGCAATTCTACACACAGCACTGTAGCGGTAGCTACTTAGAGTAGTTTTGCCTGACTGTTTATTGCAAAAGGGGGAACATTATCGGACACGGAAAAGCACAACTAACTGTAAGGAGAGCAGAAACGAAGAGCTGATTCCAATCGGGAATCACTGTGTAAAGAAGACAGAGAGCGGAATGGACGGCGGTGCTGCGTGCACACTGCAGCGACCGGAAGCAGCGTGCCCAGTACGGGATGCCATGTATAGATGGAGCCCGAGGGCAGTGCACTCAGACATGAATACGCACGTGCACCCGAGTACTGCGTTCAGTGCATGCGGGGACTGTGCCATAGAAGGGGAAGGGTTAGTGATGCGCAGCCAGCAAGTACAGCGGTACATGAATGCATGAGTCTATGGTACAGCAGGCAGGGTGCGGTTCTTACACACGTACGCACGTTAGATCAATGCGAGTGAGTGTAGGGAGTAGGCAGGAGAAACCAGGAGACAGTCAATGCTATGCCTAGGGATAGAGTTCTGTCATGATGCTACTCATTACACTACAAGCACGCTCAGTTGTTGTAACACCTGCATTCCCTATATCAAGTTGTGCCACCCCTCAAAGCTTTTAGAATGTTCCACATTTCCTCCAACCTCTTTTCTTCAAAGAGGCTTCTAGCTCTGGCGCATTAGTCATGTTCCTCTGTCTTTCATTCTTCTTGTTGTCATTTCTATCTGCATTGCATCTCTCTCCTTCTTCACTGTAGACGTATGGGGTTTCAACGAGCAGCATCGGCGTGTGCAGCGTGAGATGGAGGAGAAGGAGCGCCTAAACCCGGAGCACAGCCGTACTATGAAGTTGATGAGCATGTCCACATGTAGTTTCATGTCCAGTGATGCTTCAAGATCACCGACCATTGCTGAGGAGGTATGGTATTCATCTAATAGATTCTGGACCGGAAACATAGAAATTATCGGAGCTAATCAAAAAGATCAAAGTAGGGACTTCCCCTTTTGCCCATTTAGCTACCAGGATTCGACAGTATGTAGATGGTGGGAAAAGAGGTAACGATGCTACGTTAGGCTTGCTTGCTTTATGTTTTGTGTTGATGCTCGCACAAGCGTATTCATGCATGCATGCGCTCATGAGTTTCTATACATGTGTGTGCACATGTATGCCACCAGAGCATACAAAAATCCGTATCATATTATTCATTGACAAGCACTGCTGTACTGTTGTATGACTGTACTCTGTCTGTGTGTGTTGTGCTGCGTGCCGTGTGATGTGTACTGTGTGTGTGTGTGTGTGTGTGTGTGTGTGTGTGTGTGCGTGCGTGTGTGTGCATTTTGTAGGATTCATCTGGTAACCGAGTGGCTGGCTTTGAATGTCTTTACACATTATGTTACCACATCTTGTCAGTCACTGCACTGGCTGTGGTACCACAGGAAGGTAACAAGTATCCATTCCTGGTGAGTAACCTCCACTTAACAATTTGATTATTTTGTTAACCTGACGATTGCCGAGTGCGAAAACATTGGAAATGGAACTGATTCTTATTTGCGGGACAATGACTCATATTCTTTTCTCTTCAGACGCATCTGCGAGAAACCTGAAGGCTTCTACGGGTTCAATTTGCAATGGATGCTGTTCTCCCTTCTGTAACAATTTTTGTTTATACCCCCCCCCTTCTCCCTCCCCAATTGTGTAACAAAAATGTCCAAAGTTTGTCCCCCCCCCCCCCCCGACGGCAAACTCTGTAACAAATGTTTGTTTCACCTTTCACCTGATTTTTCAGTTGTCATCAGGTTGGGATCGTCGCTTGGTGTTGTGGAACACGCAGACGGGAAGAGTGGTGGACTCTCTCCGACCTCCGGCTGCGGTACGCGGAAAAGCAGCGGCCGACATCGTCACCGATCTAGCCTACAGCAAAGAACTGTAAGTGCCACATTTTCCAGAGTATGAGCCTCACTGGAGTATAAGCCACACAGGAGTGTGAGCCACACCGGAGTACACGCCGCACTGGAGTATAAGCCTCACTGGAGGGCAAGTCGCACACATAAGTTTGTAACGAAATATGGACATCTACCCTGTTTATCGCGGTTAATTGTACCATCGTAGTGTAAGCCACATCGACATTTCTGGTGAATTAATGGTGTTTAAAGGGCGGCCTATACTCCGAAAATTACGGTAACGTTAAAGGAGCCGATGGAAAGGAGCCTGAACGATGCATTAGGGCTGCTTATACACTTCTCTATAATTCTTCCCGGACAAAATGGTGTAGGTTGCTGCATGATATCAGGTCATGGATGACATGATTAGTAGGGCATATGCTCTACAGCATGCAATATGGATTTTTTGCTGGATCTTTGTGTGAAAATCGTGTTGTAAAGTGGCAGTTGTGTTCTGTGTCTCTATTGTCCAGGAATCTCTTTGCGTACTCGTCGGCAGACAAGAAAGCCTACATTCGCAAGTTTGCACGCGATGGCAAGAAGATGCTGCTCGAAGCCGAGCTCTCTGGTCACCGTGCTGAGGTCACGAAGGTGAGTGCCTGGTTTCATGGAGGGGGAAGGGTGTGGGAATGGAAGGGGAAGGACGTGGGAATGGAGGGAGAAGGGTGTGGGAATGGAGGGAGAAGGGTGTGGGAATGGAGGGGGAAGGACGTGGGAAGGGGAATTCCAGCACATCGTACACTGCTGCTTGATGAAATCCAATCAAAATCACCCAAGTATGCACTGTGCATTGCGCAGCCCTACAGTCCATTCATCGGAAACAGTCGGAAACAGTCTTTTGAAAGTCGGATTTTGGCCGAATTGAGGATCAAAAGCCCACTTCAAATCTCAAAAGTATGGGTTTTGGATCTGCTTCTCTATACATTTTGCCATGACATACCTGTCCTAATTTGGTAAAACCTGGCTGAATTTACATTTCCCTGTTCTTGCACTTTTCTGGCCTCAAATGTGGCAAGGAGTAATTGCACGGGTCACAGAATGCACGGTGTACTGTTGTTTTCACGATATCTACAACTATGTGTGGGAGACACCAAAAAGTTAGGGTGCCAGTCTCCAACGAATGGACTGTAGGCCTGCGAACACTGGGCTGCGAAATGGTGCAAGGTGCAAACGTGACTCACGCGACCGGATGTGATGGAGCGTCACTGTGTATTGTCAACGTGAGTGTCTGTCTTCCTGGAGTAGGCTATCACTCTCGAGTTTTTTTTACTTCAGTCAAGGTTCATGTGAGGAAAGATGGGTGTGTATGTACATTTGTGAGACCAGCAAGCCATTGTGGATAGGCATTCTATCGAAGGCTCTACATTGCTTGCTTTCATCACTCCTCTCTCCCAATCTTCTGTGTGTATGTGTACCTGTGCTGATGTGTATGTGCGTTTGAGTTTTCGTTTGTTTGTGTACGTGTGTGCGTGTGTGTGTGGGGGGGGGGGCATGCGTGTATGTATGTGGGTGTAGATTTGCTGGAACAAGTTCACGCAGACGTGGATAACCAGCTCGGCTGATCAGACCGTGGCCATCTGGGTGAGGCAGTTAACTGCGATGCATCAGAGCTAGAATTTTTGACACCTGATGGGGGCACCCATCCCCATTTTTCTAGTGTAGTCTGCTTGATTTCCCCTTGTATTCCCTGACATGTCCTCCACTTTGTTGTTATTGAGTACCTCTGTTCATTTGGTAACTGGGAATTTAAAAATAACATCAATCAAAACAACAAAAAAGACTCCCCATAGATCTCCGACAGGCCTGGCTCTTTGAGATGACAGTCATGTTGAACCTGCTGTGTTACTGACAAGTTTCAGTGCTAACTGGTCATACACACACGTGTCATGTTGAACCTGCGGTGTTACCGACAAGTTTCAGTGCTAACTGGTCATACACACACGTGTCATGTTGAACCTGCTGTGTTACCGACAAGTTTCAGTGCTAACTGGTTATACACACACGTGTCATGTTTACACACCACATAACAGGCTTCGCACGGTGAGTCACGTCTGGCAACACTTCGTCTGGACGGCACGGTCAGTGCACTAACAGTGGACACGGTCAACGGGTGCGTTCTGGCTGCTTCCGAGAGCGTATTCTGGTAAGAATTCTCTGCTACATGCACTGGCCAACAGTGCTGCACACATTTCAGAAGTAGTTTAGTTGGTGGTTTGTCGATTTCGATCTATTTTCCATGGATTTTGAAGTTCTATGTGGTCCAGAGTGAAGGAAAAATAATAATAAAATCTGAGCTCAAGCGTTGGCGAGACGATGATGATGTTGGATGTGTGTGCACATGTATCTGTCTTGCAACGGTGAAGGGCGACTGGAACTTGCTGCCAACGAGTCTCATGTTCTAACCTCTCCCGTCTTCTATCTAGAGTGTATGGCTGTTGGTACTCGTTGGTATTGGCAGGCCATGCATCGTACGCCTATGCCACAATCTCCGTGGGTGTCTGTTCGAGTGTTTTGGCCTTGGTCCGGTTTGAGGTTTTGTCTTTGTCAGAAGCACCACACCAAGTACTCTGCCTCAGTTTGCCCGTTCATCATTCGGAAATGATACATTTCAGACAGCCGAACGAAACATAATATCAGTTTCTCTGCCTGTTGTCCCGTAGATTACTGAGATATACCGTAGTGGCGCACATATAGGCCCAGGCCCTTATGAGTGAGTTTTGCGTTATCTGCTATTTTTGCGAGTCGTTTTGTCTCACACATAGGCGCATGCGCTTGAGTTGCTAGTGCACCGGTATCTTGCATAATTATGCACATAGTGCAATACCGCAATGCACATTGAACTATGTGAATATGGTATTTTTGTGGTGGCTGTTTGTTGCAGGATGGACTGCATTTAGGTTCACTTATAAGCCCATGCGCTTATTTGTGAGGGTGAGCTTATGCCCGCGTATACGCACATGCGCCTATATGCGTGTCGCTACGGTAATGCATTTCAGATAACCAAACAAACTTCATATGAATTTCTCTGCCTGTCCACAGGGTCTTTAACCCGTACACGTATCAACGATTGCGACGATGCAAGGGCCACCGAGATCGCATCCGGGCAATCCTGCACGTTCCTGAAAATAACCAGGTCAGACACTCGGACACTTGTGCACTAGATGCTTTTTGAACGCCTAGAACTTCTGTTTGCCAATGAACTAACTCTACATAATATGCGGAGCCCATTTCACCTGGCTATAGTACTTTCAATTTGCGAGCCACTATGGGCTCCGCTGATCAAACTGTTGTGGTTTGCATTCAGCCCGCACACTACTCATCCACTCTTCTTTCCACTGATACACACGAATCGGAGAGTTTAGAAATACATTGCGTTGAAAGGGAAACACGGAAGTAAAGGTAAAACCAGAGAGGAAAGACGTGCAGCACAGGAACCCCAAGATGGATCCAAGGAGAAGCACATTGCACCGTGCATGCGCACACTCTAGATTGAGTAGCATGCATGCAACCTACAACTGTGATGTTGCACATAACATGCATGCAATCAATAACAGAAACCTTACAGGGTCCAGCAGCTAGTTGACAGAAAATTGATTTCAGAAAAACATCAACAACATAGGTACGTGTATCCTTTGTAAGGATCTCTTGGCTTTGGGAGTTTGATGGTACGCTACTAGTCCGTATGGGACTCTCGTACAGTCTCACGTGTCTATGACCTTGAAAGGTACTATGCATGTAGAGTTTAAGAGCGTGTACAGTTTATATGTACTCCTCCTCTCTTCTCATTTCTTGTTGTGTGGACTTTGTGAATTGGGTACAGTATGTAACGTGTTCATGGGACAAGACCATGCGACTGTGGAATTCTCACAAAGGTACTTATACTGCTGTTTGTTGATGGCTGCGAGACTCCTGCAGGGGCGTCGGACATGCTACGGTTGGGGGTTCGAACCTAGGAATCTGTATCCACGCAAGCTCTACAAATAAGTACTCTTTTACTGCGAAAATTATACTTTCTGTCAAAATGCAACTCCTACACGGTCACTACGGCACTGATCGTACCACTCTCTGTCCCAGGTATCCCGTGAATCAATCAAATACACTGATCTGGGCTCTATATTTCGAAAAATATTTCGGCAAAGGCACCACCCCAATCCCATGAGTAAATTGTACAGGTGGCTGACCGTACCACCCCCAAATACCTTCCGACGCCCCTGTCCTGACTGTCCTGACTGGACCCTGCGGGTTACCTCTTTACTGATGTTCCAGTTGCCGTGTTGTGAATGCTGCTGGATTTCGCGACACTGGGCTTGCACGCTCATGTGTGTGTGTGTGTGTGTGTGTGTGTGTGTGTAAAAAAAATGAAAAATAGGGATTCACTGGCCAGAAAAAGCCACTTCAAACAGCTGTGTAGTGGATACCAGGCTAAAATTAGTGGCGGTTAATTCATCAGCCTTGCAAGCTGTTGAGTGGTGTAATCCCAGCACAAGTTGCTATGTCTAACATAGCTGTTCGCTATCATCGCTTCCGCGATGGGCAGGTCTGAGGTCTGAGGTGTATGTGTGTGTGTGTGTGTGAGCATTGGAACGCGCGTGCGTGTGTGTATGTATTTTGCGCCCACACGATGGCCGTGCAATTGACGGTAGGTGCGTGTGCGTTGTGCAGTAATCTCCGACTGGAGCAGCAGTTTTAGCATCCATGGTGTATGCTTATTCTGTTTTACTATGTGCGACTGATTGATCACATGCCATTAATGCCCATGGAGGCTGGCAAAATGTTGGATCCGAACATGTGTCAGTAACCGACATTCATCCCGATGAAAATTCTCTCCTGTCTTGTGTTTTCTGCAGCACCTTTGGATCGCGGTGAGGAAGAAGTTGTGGAAGAGGAGCCATCGCCTCTCAAGTCACGTAGCACAATCCGAAACACTGGTGAGAAGCAATGCCAGCAGCAGCTTGCTCATGCTGAATCCAACATCCAAGTTGTGGTGGAGCAAGTCTAATACCGTAATAGAATAGTGAGCACGTGGCAAGTGCCGTCACACACGGTAACGGCCAGTACGACCATGGCTGTACCACTGTGACTTTTGGTCCCGGATGGTCCACCCAGAGCGCCAAAACTGTTGGCCGGAAACTCCAATTTTTTCCCACGGGGGACACCCGGTCGCACCCCGAGAGACACCCGGTCGCACCACTCACCACACTACCCTGTGACGCCACTGGTACGTGAATGAGCTAGTGTTCGCTACTCCCGCTTCTTGACTGCTCTCCGGGATTGTCCCGTTCAAATCTGCTTTGCTCAGCTTTGCCTTGATTTATAGCTCTCTTTAGGCGTACTAGTTTCTTGAATGGGGAAGCGCTGTCATTTAGTTCCAGGATGCTTCCATTACGAACACCAGCACACAATTCTGATAACCTATTCCTGCTATTTAGTATTTTACTTATTCCCAGAGCCTCAATGGCACACATTAGTTAGAGAGAAAGAGA